CCCTGGATCAGAGTGTTGTCCAACACCGAGTTCACTTCTTTTTCAAAACGATGTAAAAGCTCAAAGTTTTTGAAACCAGCATGCTGGAGTCCAGTCTTTAAAATGCAAACTGCATTCCTCATCTCAGGTCTGGACGGGACAACAGTCTCCTCTTCTTCATCCTTCTCCTCCTCCCCCTCCTCGCTGCGCGCAGCTGAACAAAACAGAAAACACCTGATTGCTCACAAACATGTTAGTTCAGAACCTTGTTTACAAGTTTTATTAATATATGTATGTATATATACAGAATGTATTTAAAATCAATGTCATTAGTCTCATGTTTCATTATTTTTATTTATTATTACCTTTTTTCTTTTCAGTTTATTGCACAGCTGTGTAGTTAGGATCTAAACATGTTAAGACTTAAAGGTGAGTTTACCCACTGGGGGCCACAGCATGACAAAAACATTTTTATATTAACTTATATCCAAGGTAATATTTTAAAATAAACTCATGTTACACTTGGGGCACACAATATATTGAAAGTTTAATATTATTGCTGTCATAACACTGTACACCCCATGCATTCTGTGAAGACTGTGAGTCTTCAATAAAGCTAGCAAATTCTTTAGGTACTCTTGTTCAGGCTCTCTGTGCCTGTAATATACAGTCATGGTAAATTATCACCTTGTTTTCTCTTTTTTTGTCAATTGTATTCTACCGTTAATATAACTTCTTGCTGAGATAAAAATTACCATTCTTTGCTTGGTTGACTAGACTTTCTGTAGTGGAACGCACAACCAGATCATAGATAGACATTCAAAGATGAATAAATGTTTTTTCATGAAACCAAAGCATGAAGACATAAACACCTTGTAATTATTTATTTTTTATATATTTGTTAAGTCATATTAGTAACGTTCATCATCATGGGATTCCTTAATATCATGAGGTCCTCCATTGTATGCTAACCCATAATGGATCCCAAGATATTCAAGCTATTTTACTGAGGTGCAAAATCTTTATACTTCACTGTTGGTGTGTAATTATGCTTTACGAAGGCATTGATATAGTGTCATGGTCTTGGTTCTGTTAAGTTTTCTTTTAAGTATTCAGCTTTTACTTTGCTGCATGTTTTCTAGTTTTATTGTTTTAATTCCTATTTGTTGTGTTTTTTCGGTATATTTGAGTTCTTAGGTTTTTCTTTGTTGCCCTCTTGTGTTGGTCTCCTTAAACACCATTCTTTTAGAATGAAATTGTGTTTAGTCCCAGAATGGGGAAATTCTGGTGTTCCAGGAGCAAAAAGATCATAGAAAAAATGGTCACACAAATATGGACCTTAGAAAAATGTATAAGAATAACATAATAGTTAAGAGTTAAAAAATAAACAAATAAAATACTGCACTGTGTTTTAACAATATAAATACTGTGCACCTATACACCTTTACAGTGTACATTTTGAATTTGTAGTTTTTAACGTATTTAGGATTATACTTTTTGTGAATGATATTGTGTATTGTATGTTTTTGAGACTGATTTAGCTCCATAAAAAGGAAATAGTTTTCATCCACTTTGCTTAAAAATCGTGGAAGTAAGGCATGCTTTTGGTCTCCTGACACTGCGATAATTGCCTGGGGTTGGTTAATGTAATAAAGATTTTGACTCATCAGCTGTTGTGCTCTGATCCATAAGTTGTCACCTCCAAAAATACAGCACTTTGATGTTTGGATAGGTTTTTTGATCCACAAACTACTTGTTTAATCCTTTCAAATGAATTAAACACTCAAATACATTTGCAGTAGTTTACATACTTGTTTTATGAACATGTACTGCAGAACTTCATTGTTTGAAATATGAGGTACTAATGTGATAGCAATGGTAATATCCTGATTATAGGACTCAAGGCTTAGCCAATCCCATTGGTTTTCTAAATTACAACTTAAACACAGTTGATGTCTTTTCCAGATCCATGGTCAAGATCAATTGAGCAAAGCATTTTTTAAAGCAAAATAATTTCTAACCAGCACTAAATATTGGATGTGGGATGAAGCTATGAACTGTTAAGTCTGTCATAGTAAAAAAAGTGTTATAGAATGGTAAATTGTTGATTTATTTTTTTTTTTTTAGGAGAATCTAAAGATGGATAAACAAAGCTACACCACGTTTTTTTTAAATCCACCTGATTTAAAGTAAAATCACATTCAAGAAGTGTTGTAGAGTTCTACTTGATTGGCTGGAAAATTACAGCAAACAGGAATAGAAGTAGAGGAACCACCAAACAGCTTAACTTAAGATTCAGTAGTTCATGTAAGGTCTGAAGGACAAGATGTGGCGTTTGGAACTTTATGGGTTTTATTTAAATGTGACAATGAATGTCTTCTGAAGAAAAAAAATTTAATTGTGGAAGTTGGGTGAGAACACGTATACAGAGAACAAAAAAAGGGTGTCGTACTGAACAGCAAAACGGAAATTTGTATCACCTATGAACATACGGTCAAAGTTAGAGTAAAGACTGTGTTCTTTAATTGGCTGTACATTTATCAAATACTGCTATAAGATAACACTAGATCAGGGGTCACCAACCTTTTTAAGGCTGAGGGCTACTTCATGGCTACCGAGTCATAGGAAGGGCTACCAATACTGACCTATGAACTGGAGGGATCAGTGTTCACCTACAGTAAATCTCATGCATAAAAAGTCATTTTTATTCTTATTTTATTCTTTTATTCATTTCTTATTTTCATTTTGATATTGTCATTTTGAAACCACAGAAATATGATTAAATAGTTAACATGATGACATAATACATAAATGATTAAAAAGAAGAGCAACAGAATAAAAAAAATTAAACTTAACCCACTGAGTGAGTTCTGTTTTCAGAAGAAGAAGAGGGCACCTCATGTGGTCCTTGAGGGCCCCTTGGTGCCCGCGGGCACCGCGTTGGTGACCCCTGCACTAGATGCTATAAGATAAACCTAGATACTATGATCACACTTTGCTCCACGTGGAAATCCCTGTAATGATAATATCAGGTGTATTTATGTACACATAGCAACCACTGGCTGTCTGCATGCACTTCCTTGGAAACATATGTTTTTAACACTCTTGGTGGTCTGAGACCAAAAGCTTTTTCCAGCTTTTCTTTTCATTTTTTTTTTTTTGTGTGGGTGTGTTTGTCAGTCATATTTAGAAAGTACATAGTATGATAAAATTATGGATCATTAAACTAAATTTCTGGTCAGATTTTATTTTTTATTTTCGAATGAGAGAGAGTATACTTAAAAATTTTTTTTTATATGATGAAGTTTAATAGGCTGCCCTCTCAAGTCTCTAAACATTGGTGCTTTGTTTTGGTGGTCGGTTCAGATGCTATCATACTATCATTGTGTGTTTTATAGGTGATGTTTTGGTTTTTTCACTTTTAACCATCTGTTTCTGGGTCTCATTGTTTATTACATGGATGTTTGTTTAACTCAGAGAGCTATGAGCTATGATTTGACTTTGACAGTTATAACAGGTTCCAAAATGTGCAGCCAAATGTATGCTTTTGTTTGGATCTAAACTTGTTAGGAATCATGTCTGCTGTTGGAGTATGCTGAGAAACAGCTACAAAATATGCTGGTGTTTGTAGTTTGACAGTCAGAGCCTAACTTCCAGTTCACAGCTTCATCAGACAGTATAAACATTGAAATCATTATGATTTATCATGATGTTTAAAAATAATAATAGCAATAATAATAATTGGCTGGTCAGTGGAGCAGTGGGTAGCACTGCTGCCTTGAAGCAAGAATGTTCCGGGTTTTATTCCCGTGCCAGGGTCTTTCTGCATAAAGTTTGCATGTTCTTCCTGAGCATACGTGGGTTCTCTCCGGGTACTCCAGCTTCCTCTCACAGTCCTGTTAGGTTAATTGGCTTCTCTGAATTCTCCTTAGGTGCGGGTGTTTGTGTGTGAATGGTTGTTTGTCTCTGTGTTGCCCTGCGATGGACTGGAGACCTGTCCAAGGTCTACCCCACCTCTGGTCCGTAGACAGCTGGAGATAGGCACCAGCAACCCCAGTTGGGATAAGCGCAACGGAACATGGATGGGTGGATAATAATAATAACAAAATTTTACTTTATTGATCTCACAATGGAGAAATTTTACCTCTGCATTTAACTCATTACAATGGAGAGCAGTGGGCTGCCATTGTGCGGCCAACTAGGAAGCAGTGTGGAGTTAAGGGTCTTACTTAGGGAACCAGAGTGCAGGCTGTGGAGAAACAAAATATAAATAAAAAAATATATATTTTAAATACATGTTTATGTTAAGTCTAGGCTAGGGTTTGGAGTTATCAAAATAAGAAGAATTTGGGAATCCATGTTGGTTTGCTGGGATGTTTAATTCTGTCCCAGTGGTTAAGTCAGTCATATTTACTGGCACTCTTCAGTCACTTCCCACTTGACTTTTTGAATTCACACTAATCTACCTTCACATGCACATAAAAACACATGCAAAACCAAGTGATGTGATTCTCTGCCTCAACAGCCACAAAGAAGGCATGCTGGATCTTTTTCTAACAATTAGATAAACAATTAAAAGGTAAATTTACCCATGTTAATTTAATTTTTGTTGTTGATATTTTATGTAAAACCTTTACTTTCTTTCTGTTTCTATTTTTAAAGGAAGTCTACGGAAGAGGATTAGGGCCAGTGGGGAAAAAAAAAAAGTTAACTGATTTTTAAATTTTATTTCCGTTTAGTATGGGAAAAAAGTCAGAATTCTGAGATTAAAGTCAGAATTCTGACTTTTTTCTCAGAATTCTGAGATTAAAGTCAGAATTTTTTTTCTCAGAATTCTGACTTTTTTCCCATACTAAACTGAAATAAAATTTAAAAATCAGTTAACTTTTTTTTTTCCACTGGCCCTAATCCTCTTTTCTGTAGAAGTCTACTCTTATTAGCTCAAATGTTTAGAGTGTATGTCAAAGAGTTTGTTCCCTGTAAAAGTTTTAAGATTTCTTTTCTCTTTCTGTCTCTTCCAGAATAACGAGGTTCTGGTCTGGTGTGAAAACCACAGACGCTGCGCTCAGGTAAATAAACTGCAGTTTCTACGTACTTTAACCAGATAAGATACATGAAGAAATTAGAGGGTGTTCAAAAGTCTAAAGAAGAAAAGTGAGAAAAGTTGCATTAAAATATGTATAAAGTGATTTAAAAACATTTAAAGCAGGGCACAGTCATATACTAAAAACAATTAATGAAAAATAATAAATCCATGAAACTATCTTAAAAGTAATTTTTGGAATTGAATCATTAAACCCAAAAATAATCAAATTGATTTTACAGCATCTTTTAGTCCTAAACATTTTTTTTTGTTTTATTTTGAACTCTGGAAACTTGTCATTCAGTACAGATATTGAAAATGTAACTCCCTGAAACCATACTAATTTAAAAGATGGAATAAATAAAAGATGGATAAAATTTATCCAATCATATAATCTCGTAACAACGGGGCTGTTGTTCTACTCTCCCAGATTATTCATGTGCCGTTTGGTTCATAAACAGTATTTCAGTGACAGGAAGGAACTTATTTGCTCACATATGGGAAAATTGTAAAATTGGAGACACAGAGAAAGAGTAAAAGAAAAAAAACATGTTTCAAATTAAAAATGAACGCTTGCACAACAAAACACAGCAGTACTTTTTATGAAATTTCTGAAATGTACGGAAATGTTATGTCACCGTACAAAAATGGATTTTGTATCAGTTAGAAAGTTATTCCACATATCCCTTACTAATTGTTTTTAGTAATTTTTTGAAAAAAAAAAAACTAAAAATATTTCTTTACTTAAACAAAAAATAAACTTGGTTTACTCATTAAATAAGGAATGTTAACAAAGATGTATTTTCTAGGAATAAAGTAAGACACCTACCGTGACTCAAGTTGCTCCAGATTTCCATCTACTTGTTTCTGTGGAACGTTTTCCCACTCTTCCCATTAAGCTATTGGATCGCTTACAGATTTCTTGCTTCCTACTCCTGTTGTAATTTCCCCTACAATATCTCCAAAACAATACAGATTCAGGCTTTGAATATTTTCCCAAACTTTATTTTTTTGCAGTCAGTCTTCAGTAAATTTGCATGGATGTTTTCAGTTAATGTCATGTTGCAGGGTATATTTATTTTTCTGAAGGAGAATAAATGTTGGAATCTATGAGAGTTAGCTTGAGTCCGGCTGCATCAAAACCTCTCCAAGCCATTACATTTCAAGCTGCGTCCTTTACAGTTGGTAAAAGGCCGGGCATGAAGGCTGGCGGTCAGTGCTGGAGCCCTGTGTGCAGTGCTGGCAGTTCTGCATAGCAGTCTGTGTGGCGCTGCCGTGCCCGGTGTCACGGTAACCTGATTGCAAAGAGCGGTCCAAGCACCGGGTCGTATCTTTTGTCCGGGTGGGAAACATTGCTCTCCGCATGTGGTTTCTACCCGGTTCCTGGACCATAATGATATGGAAATCCATCTGGAGCTGCAGCTATACTAAACTGTGCAACAAGCTAGGGTTCATTGTTTTATGAAATTAAATATTTCATTAAAACAAACAAAAGAAAAATCAGCTTTATCGCCATCAGGCACTTTATTAAAGCTATAAAACAGAAATCTTTGGCATATTGAATCCAGCTGATGGTGTGGTAGCAGGATTGGTGATAAATGATTCTGCCGTGATGTGGTCTGAACATAGTTTGCTGTATAGGTTTGGACGCCAAAGATTGTCCGGTTGCTTTTTGTCTATTCTATTTACTTTCCGGATCGAAATTTGACGCAAAACCGGTTCCTTCGGATAATTAAACATTCCTTTTCCGTTGTAATGATGTCTTAACGATCCTTTCAGGGTGCTTAACAAGTCGTGAAGAAGTGTTTGTATACACCCGCCAAACGATGTTTGACTACACTGACGTCACAGCAGGGGAGTGGCGGCCTAGTGGTTAGGGCATAGGGCTTTGAATCCTAAGATTGTGAGGTCAATCCCCCACTCCAACATACTGCCACACACTGAGCAAGATGCTTAACCCCACACAGCTCCCTGGGCGCTGCACAATGGCAGCCCACTGCTCCCCAAGGGGATGGGTTAAATGCAGAGAATTCTTTTCATTGCTCGGTACTTGTGACAGTGTAATGACAATAAAATGTTATTATATTATTATATTATATTATATAAAAGCGCCCAGCATACTGTAAATTCTCTCGATTATTTATTACTTTGAAAATTTTTCGGGCAATTTACACCAGCCACATAAAGATAAGAAAGCACAATTTACCATCACACGATAAAACTGCTCTAGACGCACTCCTTTCTATTTGCTTATGTCTGCTTCTGTCTCCTTGAACCCCAGTCGGCCTCAGCAGATGGCTGCTCACACTGAGCCTGGTTCTGCTGGAGGTTTCTTCCTGTTAAAAGGGAGTTTTTCCTCTCCACTGTCGCTACAAGCGTGCTTAGTGTGAGGGATTGCATTTGAGTCAATGCAATCAACTGGTTTTCCTTAGATAGAAAACTTTGTATCAATTTGACTGTATGATCTGGTTGAACTGTAAAGTGCCTTGAGATGACTTGTATTTTGAATTTGGCTCTATATAAATAAACTAAATTGAATTGAATTGAATTTGGCCTTTAAAATCCATAAAACCCCTGAAACTTAATTTGGACCATTCTTGTTTCTTTGTTAATCTCACTAAATATTGGTTTGATTTCATAAATTGGGTAAACATTTTTTGGTATTTTCCTCCTAATTTTGGATTAAGGAAAAGCAAACCAAACCATCTATACTTGAAATAACAAGCCTTCAGGTGAAAGATAAGAAAAAAAGTCCATCAATTTAAATGAATACCTGCAACTGTGAAATAAATTTTGCCTGCAGATGTTCTATAAATTACTTTTTTAAAGCATCTAGTCTCTCACTGAGGGGCTTTTTAAACGCCATGCTGAGGTTCAGACATCATTTTAAAGCTTTAACCCAAATGGAAACAGCTGAGTCGTATTTCACTTCTTTAAACATTTTGAAGCTTTGCTACAAATGCACATGACAGTTGAGTGAAGTGAAATGTAGAGGCACACACAGTGAAAGCTGCTTTGCATGTACTCTATTGTATATATTTGTATTCAGGTCAGTGGGGGTTAACATCCCCCCCAACTTCTACCAACAGACCGTTGCAGGGGATACCACATTGAGCAAAACAGACTGCTTACCCCCTACTGCCTCAAACAAAATGACAAATCGGTGCAGCTCCTTGGAGCTCAGCCTAACATCTGTTCGCTTCCTTGTTTTCTAAATCTTTTGGATACAATTCTTGATGTTTGGACTTAAATATCAGTAGTACACCTATATTTACAAATGTTATACTTTAACCATGGCTGCTGTGGACCATGTCTGAATACATCTGTCAAACTATGCTCAAGTCCATGTCCGACATCTCTTTTTAAAACCTCTGTAAAAGATCATGACTAAACCAGACATGGGCACTTTCCCCTGTCTGAATTGCAAAGTTATTCCTGTTTAACTGCCTGTTGAAAGTGGATACAGCCCAGTAAAAGTTGTACTGATAGGCCAACCAAAATAAATTATAAGAGAAAAGCAAGTATCCAAGTCCTCCACCATAATTGCTTGGATTAATCAAAATAATGAACTGTTCAACAGCGGGTGTTCAGCTGTGTTTAATGCTCTCAGCGTGTATTTGTTTAATTGGGAATGTTGAAGACAGTTGTTTATTTGTAGAAATGTGGCTCCTTGGATCATTGTTTAAAGAAAACGTTGGATTTGTTGAGCTAATTCCATGAATTATGTGTCATTCTGCAAGTCAAAAAGAAAACATACAGTTATGTTGAAAAAAGTGCACCCACTGTCAATTGTAGGATTATAACTTGTTCATGTTTATTCACAACCAATGCATATAACTGCAGTTTATTTTAGGTAACTGCAGAGTATTTTTACAAACGGCATTTTGCAAATATAACTATAACAATTCATAATATTTAAAGCTTTATTACCAGATGGTATTTATTACCCTTAAATACTATCTGATGTAACCAATTACTTTCCGAAGTTGAATAATTACTAATCAGTTTGCTTGGAAAGGAAAGAATTAATTAAAAAGTGGCCCCTGGAGGAGCTGCAGACATCCACAGCTCAGGTTAGAGAATCTGTAAGACAGGACAACTGGAGGTTGGGCAGTTCACAAATTTGGCTTTTAGAGATTAGATTAGATTGGATGAGCTTTATTGATCTCACAGTGGAGAAATTCACTCGTCACATATTGGCATAGTAATTAAAGAAGGTGCAAACAGGGAGGAAAAAGGTGCATTAAGAAGAATAAACAATATATATATACAGTATATCCAGGTATATACAGTATATCAAGATAAATAAGGATTAAGGTGCAAATGTACATGTATTGCACACAATGAAAAACAAAATAAAATAAGAAATAAAAAATAAAAAGATAAAAAAAAATACAAGGTAGTAGCACAGAGGTTTGAGGTGACATATGTACAATCTGGATGGCTTATATACAGGTGGATTTACTTTAACATTAAACGTTAAAGTGTAGGAGGTAAGTACTAAAGAGTTGTTGTGATAACAATACTAATTGTAATAAATAGATCATTGAGAGGTGTTAATATCTTCCTGGGCTCATAGGAAACAGAACTCACAAAATGAGCAGTCATAAAAAATGAAATTTGATATTTCCATCTTAACAAGCATTTATGGAAAAAGTTGCCTCTGGCTACCATCTGTTGTTTCGGCACTGAAAGCAATTAGTTGTTACTTCTCAGTGACCTAGCCACATAACCGCTTCTTCAGCCTTTAAAACGTTTTATGCTCAACAAGCGTCACTAAATATATTTAGTGCCATGGTGAGCCTGAAGACGCGGTACCTGATTAATTTATTAATGTTTATTGAAGTCAAGCAAGGCTCTTGGCATTACGCAGTCTTTTAGGCAGTGGCTTCAAAAATGGTAATAATGTTTTTTTTTACACATTTACCTGCTTATTTGCACATATATGATAGGGAAATGTCTGTTGGAAGTCCTCAACTGGACTCT